CTGGCGTGTTGTTCGTTCTAGCGATAGGCTCCAAGCGCGATTCTGATTCTCAATTTGGTTTTCTGTTCTGGAATGAATCTGTTCTAAAGAAAGACCTGCCTATACTGAAGAGGGGCTGGTTCACGGTAATGAATGGTGGTATCGGTCGGGGCAAGCACAGCACTCGTTCCCGCAGCCCTTGTTGCAGTTGATAGACTCAAAAGTAAGGGCACGAAAAGCTGTCGTAAACAAAAAACCTTCCAAATGGAATAAGCTACTATAACTTTCTTTGTCGTCAAAGGAAAATGGAATCATACCTTAGTTCAGGATCTCCCTACTCGTATGTAGGAGGAGCTACTGCTTTCCTTCTAAATCGGTTCGAAGAGAAAAGGAAATGAAACAATAAAGGTTCACTTTCATTGGTGCTTCCCCCTACACGTAAAAGGATTTTCTATGAGGTAGGGGCTGGATCAATAAAAGAAAGATAAGGAAAATGTACAAGATTCCAATCGGGCCACCTTCCTTTAAGTTGTGGCTAAAAATAAGCCTTGGTGATCTATCTTCCTTCTCTTAGGCCCCTAGACCATGATGTATTAGATCCCCATGAATGAGGAAAGGTATTTTCAACTAAGGTCTTAAAGTCCAGCTCGGTGATGAATCTTCTTCCACTCCCCAACCTCTAAGGAGTCGTAGAGCAATGTCTTTATTGGCAGTTGCGCAACCTTCGATTGAAGCTACTTCTGCGGATTGCGACAGCACCCGGCCTTGGATCAAGGCTCTCACTCGCTCAAGACGTCGATGTGCCACTGGGTTGACCCTTTTCTTACTAGCATGGGGAGTGCCGATGGATGCCAAGATGAAGACTCATCAGCGCCAATTACGGGGTACAAGAGATAGTTGGATCGTAAGACTTTCTCTCACATCCCACTCCCTTCCATGAGATAGTAAATTTAAGCATCTTTGAAGAACCATATTGAGAAAAATAAAAGAAAGAAGCCGATCATTGAATTGATTAACCTGAGATGAGAAATCTATCATGTCCGAGTTCTACGATTCGGGTTCAGAGCGGAGTTTCAAGACAATAAAGAAGTGGTGCTTCTTTCCTGTACTCCAACTCAGTAGCTCATTCCGGATAAGCGAGTGAATTTCAAGCCAGGGAAACTTCCTATTAGGAATGGCTTCCTTTCAAGTTGTGTTGTTACAGACATGACTGTTCTAACAGAGCAGGGGAGACGGATAACTAATCTAATACAGTACAGCTATGATTGGGCAATAGCGCAGATAAGATCAGACTGAATGTGTGAAGGATATGGTTCTGGTTCTCTTCTGTCTCGTTCCTTCAATCAAAGAAGAATCCATGCCTAGGGCTAGTGCCAGCGCATAGTCAGAGTCTTCCCTGCGTGCCTAACATCCACTCCTTCTAGTCGAGTGCCTTGCGGCGCCTTTAACGATGAGAGAAGGCAATACCGAAGAGAATAACTCAAGGGCACTGGCTACTCCATCAACTCAATTTCGTTGAGTAAGTGAGGATGCCAGTCATCATAGTCTGAACTTGAAATCTTTCGAGGCTCATCTCGTCGATTGGCATTCCGATCCTGGTCATTCATAGATAGTCGGCGCTTTTAGTCATAGGCTATCGCCCATTCCTGATAGCCGCAGCTCTGCCTGTTCCCTATTCCATTAAAGAATGAATGGGAATTGATCTGACAACAGCTGGGCAAAATCCATCTCTTTCCATCTCTATGTTCGCTAACCTTGCTTCATTTCTTGCTTTCATGAAGCGGACCTTAACAGACATCTCTTCCATTTTCGTAGATGGAAGATCCGGTGAATCAATTCAATTAGATGCCGCTTACCTAGATGCGGTGCTTGTCCCTCGAAGCGAAGGTAAAGACCAAGACATTGGGGATTCTGAATCTGACCGCACTTTCCTCAGGTCGAACGGCTATCGATCCTGGCCCGATGAGAAAAGGGTTGAACTCATACTTGCCTTAACCTAATCTACTTGGATCCCGGATTCCATTCCATTAAGGCATTCATTCCCTTCATGTAAAGGAAGAGTTCAACAGAAGTCATCTCTCTGACACTGGCTGTTCTTTCTACCTAAACTTGCGGCTTCTTTCATCAAAGATAGGTGTGAGCTAATTTTCTCGCTAAACCCCTTTCCTTACAGTCAAGTGGCTTTCCGCTCCTCAGTCCTTGCATACTAAGATTATTCTTATCCGTGCTTTCTTTCGTGGAAGTCTCACCTATCAAGGAAGTATGGCAAAGATAGTTTATCCCTGCGGGGAGGACCTCAGCTCAGTACGCATAGAAGTACAGTCTACCTCTATTTAGCTCTACTGGCTTTCTTATACCTATACCAGGAACCCGAGCCTACCTCTTCTGGTTGAAGTTCCGATGAACCGGGTATTCCCCTCCTGAGCCCAAATTTACCCGCACAGGGAAAGATCTCAATAGGCCTAGGGCGGGGGGCAAGCTCCACTACAGGGCCGGGGGAAGAAATAGGCGTGGGGAAGAG